CAAGCTTTTTTTGAATTCCTATACTTGTTAAAGACTATGTTGTTATGTTTTTAATTATCTGCTCTAGGTTATCATTCACAACTATAGCTTAATTTAAGGGTATTAGGATTAAATATTTTACTAAGTGGGTTAGTTTCAGGGTTGGGGAAATGTTTTTTGATTAGGTTAATAAATATACGCCCTTAACTTTTTTTTGACCATAACATTGAAAGGGGGAGTGAACCAAATAACCTTTCTAGATCTTCTTTTCTTATTACAATTAACAGGGTTTTATATTGAATAGTGGTATTTTGTATCCACTATTTTTTAGTGCAGAATTATAAAATCACTATGTTTATTGAAAACCTCCTTATTATAAGAGTTTTTAATTCTAAATTCAATGGAAGTGGGTATATGTTTGATAACCGAAGGGGGATGGTTGGAATTAGGATGAACGTATAATGGGTTGGAATTAATTTCACATATGGTTGGAAAATATTGTTAGCAAGATCTAGGGTGACATCTAGAAAATCTACTTGTCTAACATTAGTAGTAACTATTGTCCTAAGACCTAAATCCTTAAATACCCTATAGATCATTTTCCTAATACGGTCTACCTTAATTTTAGTTGAGTTTTTAACAACTAATAATCCATCATCTCTATATAATCCTACACTATCTGAATCTAGACAATCGAAGGCACTTATATATATATACTTTTCACACACACACAGAGACACAGATACACACACACAGACATATATCTATCTATCTGTCTATATATATATATATATATATATATATATAAACTATAATTCTTCATAATTTTCTCTCGGACATTCATATCTGCTAGATACGTTTCCAAATGTAAACAAATTACGTCACACATTATGAAATGGACAAAGTCCGACAATTATTTTAAGTCATTTTCATGTTTATACGTTGTTTTTATACATAAAAATATTTAAGTAAATGCTCTGTTCATAAGAAAAACAGTAAAATCGACCTTGCCAACCGAAACTCTAAATTGGTAAAGCACGTCAGGGTATATGACAGTTCTGAGTAGAATACAGGTTCGATTCCTGTCAGAGGAAGCATATGAAATTTTTTCGGGCATTCAGGTCGGTAAATATCATCAATACTGTTTATAATAAACAAAGCATTTATTTAAATATTTATATCTATACAAAAAAAAGAACGTATAAACATAAAAAATATATTAAAATAAGCGTCGGACTTTGTCCATTTCACAATATATATATAGTTCAAGATATTTTTATGTTTAACTTTCTTCTTATAGATGCAAATATTTAAGTAAATGCTCTGTTTATAATAAACAGCATATTCCTGCCTGAATGTCCGGGAATTTTTCACAGAAAATATTCGTCCTCCGAATAGCAAAAACATCTCTTCCAAAAGCTAATCAAAGTAATAAGGAACGGGAAATTTTGGTTCGAATGAAATAAAAGAATACTCAAAAATTGTGTAATATCAATCCTCTTATATGGCAGTCTATGCTAGAAAATCTGATCACAGATGAAGGTAAAATTAGGGGTGACAAAAATGTTGTTCTACAGAAGGATGATGAGAATACGACAGAGTGTGCAACGTCGAAGTCTCAGGAAAAATGGAAGGCTTAAACACTAATATTCCATGGAATATTAGTGTTTAAGCCTTTTTATTATATCCTTACTCTGTCCTAGACATTGAGTTCTACCTGGATTCTTCCTCTTGGAATTTTTATTCAAAAAATATACATGTATGAGTATTTATATATTTTGCATATGTATGTATATTTACCACTAACATTATCTATCTATCTATCTATCTATCTATCTATCTATCTATATATATATATATATATATATATATATATATATCATAATCTAGAAGAAACCTCAACAGAATGCAGAAAGCACTGGACGGCCGTCCGTCCTATGTTTGCGACTCATCAACAGTGTGCTTCCACTACCAAGAGTCGAACCCGGACCGTAACGATACGACGTTGAGTTTTCTTCTAGACTCGAGAATGACTTGATTATGATTATTCAAATCCCTTAATATAATTTCTATCACTTCTATATCCTTGCTTGAACCGGTTTCTAATGCTCTGGATGGAGAGGCTTGGGGATGGAAGACGTACTCGTCGGGGCACAGTCCGTTGGACAGAGTAAACTTGGATGGCGGAATTTGTGAAGAGCAGCGCTATATCGAGTCTAGTTCCTTACCTCTTCGTCACCGTTGAGCCAGTTGCTATGACGCTTGCATCGTATCGTTACAATCAATGTTCGATTCTCGGTAGAGGGTGCGCACTGCTGATGAATCCCTACATAGAACGAAGCGGCCGTCCAGTATTTTCTGTTGAGTTTTTTTTTTTTCCAGACTCGATGAATTAGTTAATTATGATTATTCAACCCACCCAATTATTATCGGAACCTACCTACAAATGGACTCTTCCACACCTATATAATATGGCTACCAATTCTGAGTAAATGGAAGTCACCAAGTGAGGGCCACCGAGTAGTAGACACCGAGTGAATGAGTGAGTCAGGACACCAGTGAGAGAAAGTACTCTCCAGTCCACATTTACCTTTGTACTACGTTTCCGAGAATATACTATTTAATCTTATATCCGAGTCCGATTTATCTTTCTATGGTTCTACACCATAACACCAATAAAATTTCAACCATTTATGTATGTATTTATGTGTGTGTGTGTGTGTGTGTTTTGTAAATTTTCAGATATAACTAAAAATATGAGTAAAATGGGAACAAAAGGTCACTTCTATTCAGGCACCTGTCTTTGTTCATATTGTGAGGAAGAATATTTCCCTAGAAGTTTGGACTCTGCCGTCGGACGAAAGACTTAAAAATACGCCTACATCAAGAGGAGTAGCAGCAGGAGCAGTAGCCTTTGCTGAAAACAGTTCGTCATTCACGGCTAAACATTCTCTTCCCTAGTTTCTATTCTACATTATGTTTCCCTGTACCAAAAGATAATAAACTTGTTAAACCAATTCCAGTTTTTCTACTATTGCTTTTGATAACTCAGTTACAATATTAAATACTGCATTTATTAGAAAATATATTCCTTTTAAACACACCAGGAGTCAGGAATATGACTTCAAATGGCCACATATTTATTCCCTTTTCCTATTACCCAGTGGTTGTTTGCAAGAGAGGGAATTTAACTCTCACAACGCAAATGTTCATTCCAATTTATTTATCTAAGTGTTGTGAGGGAGAATAGTTCCCTACAATTTTGGACTTAAAAATACTCCTACATCAAGAGGAGTAACAGTAGCAGCAGTAGCTTTTGCTGAAAACATTTCACGGCTAAACATTCTCTTCCCAAGTTTCTATTCTACATTATGTTTCCTTGTACCAAAACGTAATAAACTGGTTGTTAAACCAATTCTGGTTTTCTACTGTTGTTTTTTCATAACTCAGTTACAACATTAAATAATGCATTTATTAGAAAATATATTCATTTTAAAGACACCCGGAATATGACTTCAAAGGGCCGCATATTTATTCTCATTTCCTATTACCCAGTCTCACAAGACAAATGTTCATTCTAATTTATTTAAGTGTTATGAGGGAGAATATTTCCCTACAATTTTGGACTCAGCTGTCAGACGAAAGGTATAAAAATAAAAAGATCAGTAGCCTTTCCTGAAAACATTTAGTCATTCACAACTAATTATTCTCTTCCGTAAGTTCTATTCTACATTATGTTTCCCTGTACCAAAACGAAATAAACTTGCTGTTAAACCAATTCTAGTTTTCTACTGTTGTTTTTGACAACTCAGTTACAATAGTCCAATAACTGGGGCAGGAATTGGCTAGTTAACTTTAACGCCTCAAAAACAAAACTGCTCTCTATTACTCACCAGAGAGAACCATTCCTGTCCCCCATTAGAATGTCTGACGCTTAACTTCTCGAGAGCACCTCTTTGCGACTGCTCGGTCTCACATTGTCAGCTGACCTGAGATGGAACGAATACATTGAGTCAATAGCTTCGTCCACCGCTAGGAAAGTTGGCTCCCTATGCCGCACCAGGAAATTTTTCTCACCGGAATCAATCCTTTAAATCTACAAATCAACCATTCGCCCTTGCATGGAGTATTGCCGCCATATATGGTCTGGAGCCCCTTCTGTTTGTCTCAAGGTCCTTGATAAAATCCAAGGACGGATATGCAATGTAATTGGCTCTGATCTGGTTTCTCGTCTGCAGAGTCGCTCTCTCACAGACGTGCCGTTGCCTCCCTCTGTCTTTTTTACAAATACTTTCACGGTAACTGCTCTGATGAGTTTCTTTCGCTGGTTCCTTGACTGCATGAATTTAAACTAGGCTGGCATCTTGTTCACACCCTTTCACTGTCAAAACTGTTAAATGTAACCGTCTCTTTTACTCAAATAGCTTCTTGTCTCACACTTCTCGCCTGTAGAACCCCCCCCCCTTTTTCTGTTTCCCTGATAGCTATAATCTCCAACTATAATGTAACTTGATGTCCCCAGATAAACCTGATCTATCCCGTATCCTTCTCTTCATCCTTTCCTCTACCAATCTTATTCGCTCTCGCTCCAACTCTCTGTAGCCCTTTTGCGTGCTAGTAGCTTTTCGCCTTGCTTGGGGTGAAACGCTTAGAAAAATACACGATATTCGTGTTTGCAAACTGAAGAAAATCGAATAAACTACACCAGAATGTCCGGTTAAACTGAAGAATTAGAAATAAGACATGACAAAAGACGAAGGAACATTCTTGTAGGGTCTGTCTAGCATAATAAGGTTAACTGGACTCCATAGCTATGGATGTAATCGTTGGACGAAGAACTTCCATCATGTAGACTATGGTCGGAATGGATTTTTTTTTTCGAGGAAATCACCTGCCACGTGTCCATGACCAAAGCGAGCTTTCAAGTTGGTTGACGTCGGCTGGGACTTGACCGGTTGGGGGATAGAGTCCGACAAGTCTCCCTGCCCATGACATACTGCACAGAAACCCTACGACCAGACCTAATCATGAGACCGAAAAAGGAACACGCGTTCTTACTGTCAGAAAATATTAAATACGTTTCTGCCTGAAATTTGATTTTTTTTATTATTATTTACTAGCAGTAGAGTCCGGCGTTGCCCGGGGATGTAACAGTAAGAGATAGATCAAGTATCGACCATCATAAAGACTGAAAAATAAAATTGACAAAGATTATTGTTTAAGGCTGACGGACACGCATGTCTTAATTAGTTTTTTTTTTGTTTTTTTTTTGTTTTTTTTACAAATTGGTCAAACTCAAACAAAAACATTGTTTTCAATCGTTATGAGTCTACCGATTGAATAGAATTTTTCAATTTTATTATAAACAATTGTCTTGTAAATGGAATTTTTAAAGCATTCTGAATGTAAAAATAAAGAAAAAAGTGTACAAGACAATAAGAAACACTACCTGCCAAAAAAAAAGTGAAGATTTGTTGAAATCGGTTGAAAAATGTAGGAAATCCGATCCCATATATAACTGAACACACACACACACACACACACACACACACAAACAACCTGGGTTTTATAATAAGTATAACTCGATATGAGTTGTCCCCCTTTCATTCTCGTGATGCCTCTTAATCGTGTTTTCAAATTGATTTCGTGCAAAAACTATTGTGTTTTTCCAATTTTTGGCGCTGTCAGAACCACCGCAAGGTAATTTTACGTAGTCCTGTGAAGTTTTGTTGAAATCGGTTGAAAAATGTAGGAAATCCGATCCAATATATAAACGTACAGACACACACAACCTAGGTTTTATAATAAGTATGATCTAGGACACGTAAAGAGGAAGAAATGCTTCAAGAATTTGACACTAATTGTTCTTGCTCGATAATACTCGCTCGAATAGTAATCACCGTATAGTGATCCGAATAGAGAAATAGTATAGTGAATAGAGAAGAGAAAATCTACCATCCGTCCGTCCATTGAATATTGCTGCCATTTCTGGTCTGGTGTTCCTGATTTTTGTGATGTCAACGAACACCTGTTGTCACTTTTGGGATGTCAACGAATACTCGCTGTCACTTTCCTAATGCTCGTTGTAGTAGAGACTTTGTAATCGCAGCTACAACTATAGTAACGCCGTTGAATAATACTAGCGTCAGACGCCTTCGAATATCACTCGCACTAATAGTACTTGCTCAATAATACTCGCTCAAAAAGTAACTACAGTATAGTAATCTGAATAGAGAAATATTATAGCGAATAGAGTAGAGAATAGCGCTCCGTATAGTAATAGAGGATAGAATAGAAAGAGTGAGATATTCACTAACCGCCCCACGCATCCAGATCCGGCACAAGGCCAAGTTTATTGTGGAGTTCCGAGCCCGTAGGTTCGGGCAAAAATTCACCGTAGGCCCCGTGAAAACGGAGACGGGTACCAATCCAGACGAGATTCTGCATTTCGACATAGCCTCGTCTAGGGATCTTCTCTACCGGGAGGTAGAGAGTTTGACCAGCACATTTCTAAAGTAATCAGGAGAGTGAGATGTATAGAGAAATAGTGATCCGTATAGTAATAGAGGATAGAATAGAAATGGTGATCAATTAGACGCCACGCTGATTCCCATATATATACATTTCCTTTGTGATCATGTGGTCTACTTATTAGGAATGGAATCACCCGTGTTTGCTCATTGGTGATCTGTGTTCAAACTCCAGCGTCGGCAGCGACATTTTATTCTTATATAACATACTGACAGAAAAGGTGCAGAGGAAAAATCGCAAGTAATATAACTCCTGGGGGGGGTGCTTAGGGGACACACATTCCTTACATTTACAAAGATCAAGAAGTTATGGAGAGACATGAGCGATACGTGTTTAATGGCTGGATACATTCCGGATAGGCCTTAGATAAATTTTCCCTCTAACCAACGCCTTTATCCACTGTGCCATGTGTCCTCAAGGACACATGACACAGTGGATAAAGGCGTTGGTTAGATCCAGTGACAGGACCCAAAGAGTGTGAGTTCAATACCCGGTTAAGGCAGTGGAGAACTTTCAGTGGGAAAATTAACTGGAGATAACTGATAACTGACATCCATCAAACATGGCACGTGGAACTAGAACAGTCTACCCCAGTGAGCGAAATAAAGGGTTCAGTTTTACATTCCAACCACCTGAAGAAGGCCGGAGCGTACAACGGTCGAAACGTTGTGATAAATATAGATGAGGACAATAGTCCGAATAATGTAAATAATGTACATAATACCTCATCTCAGAAATATAGAGAGATACTGAATGGGCGAAACGTTGTAATAAATATGGCGGCAAAGATGAGGACAATAGTCCGAATAAGTAAATAAGACCTCATCTCAGAAATATAGACAGATACTGAAAGGCGAAACGTTGTAATAATATATGGCGACAAAGATGAGGACAATAGTCCGAATAATGTAAATAATGTACATAATACTTCATCTCAGAAATATAGACAGATACTGAAGGACCGAAACGTTGTAATAAATATGGCGACAAAGATGAGGACAATAGTCCGAATAATGTCAATAGATTATACCAACAGAAATATAGACAGATACTGAAAGAAATAATAAATATGGCGACAAAGATGAGGACAATAGTCCGAATAATGTAACTAGTGTACATAAATCATCTCAGAAAATAGATTAAACGTTGTAATAAAAATATGGCGAAAAGGATGGGGACAATAGTTGAATAATGTAAATAATGTTTTCAGAAATATAGAGAGATACTGAATGGGCGAAACGTTGTAATAAAATATGGCAAAAAGATGAGGACAATAGTCCGAATAATAAATTTACATAATACTCATCTCAGAAATATAGACAGATCACACAAAATGTATACTGATTTACAACGATATAAGAAATATAATAATTAACAGATAAATAATTATTCAAATGATTAAACTATTTACACTCGTCATTTTCACACCCCTCTTTAGCTGCAAAATATTTATCACTATTATTATTATATACTATTTATTATTATTATTATTATTATTATAATTATTATTATTATTTACTAAAAACTAAAATTTATACTAAATCTATTATAATAAAACAAAAATATTTTAAATGAATTAAGTGAATTATAATATTAAATAAATCCTAGATCCCTTTTTGTCTCTAGTCAGCATGGCTGATGCTAACCACCAAGAGATTGACTTTTTGCACCTTCTAGGATTAACGTTCACTGCCGACATGAAATGTAAGAATATACTAGAACCAGTGCCAGGTCAGTTGCTAAGAAAGTCGGTTCCCTTTGTCATGCTAGACAATATGCGTCTCCAGAATTTTTCTTACATAAAGGGTGTTCCAATAACTTGGACCGAATTTAAATGTGAATTACGTATAAGCATCTAATGACTTTTTTTTCTTTTTTTTTCAGATTTGGCGGAAATTTGGGCGATATTATAATTGCCATGACTTAAATAACATGATCCAATAGAGAAATAAATAGATTTCCACCATTAACACTGATTTATTTACAGCTGCTCCGTCTTAATGGAACACCCTTATATATAATCCGTCTTAATGAAACACCCTTTATTTATAAGTTCACCATTCGTCCATGCTTAGAATACTTCTGCCACACACGGTCCGGTGCTTCCACTATATACTTAGGGATTCTTGATAAAATCCAAAGAAGAATCAGCAATATTATTGGTCTTGACCTGGCGTCTCGGCTTCAGTCACTCTCCTATCGCTGTAAAATTGTCTCCTTGCACATAAAAGTACAAGGAGGCAACTTTCCGGCGATGTAATTTTTTCGACGAGTTCTTCACAAGAGTAAATTACAAATTTAAGCGCAGTACTAGACTGGCGACTAGGTCCCATCGATTTACAGTTGAGTTGGTTAGATGTAACAGTTCTATGCTAACAGTTTCTTTTCTTGCCCTTCTCGCTTGTGCAAGTCTTTATCGGCTCCATGCTTTCACATCAAGTTTGATTTTCAAAAATTTAAATGCCATGTCTATCGCTATCTTCCTGATTACACTTCTATTGTTCTCGCTCATTAGTAATATTTCTGTTTTCTAATTATTCCACACCCAGTAACCCATTGTGTCTTAGTGGCTTTACTGCCTTGCTTGTATATAAATCTTGCCTTGATAAAAAAAGAAAAGAATGGTTATTATAATCTGATAGTACTAGTATAATACGTACTGTATACCTACTTTTGCAGCCCACTGTATGTAACTGTATCTTCCAGGCAGAATAAAGCGGGGATTGAAACCAACAGTGCGTCCGAACAGGTGATTTGAAATTTTCGTATTTTTCTTTGTAAACCCAAAAAGCAATAAAGTTGAAAGACGTCGACATTTTTATTTTGAAATATTATTATTATTTTTTTTTATTATTTTTTTTTTTCTATTGTGCACCCTTCTTTTGAAATCTTATTCCACGTGTGGGTGGTAATGAGCTTTTTGATGTCAGAACTGCTTGCCATCTACAACGTCTTCAAATATATATATATATATATATATATATATATATATATATATATATACTACAGGCCGAATGTAGGACGAACAATTGTTGCTGTATTTTGAGTCAGTGTGAAAAAAAGAGTAAGTGATTACTTCGAAAGAAACTGTGAAAACTATTTTTCAGATCTATATTTCTCAGATTTCCAGAGTAGTGTATTTGTTATAATATAAGCTACAACATTTTCAAATATATATATATATATATATATATATATATATATATATATATATATATATATATATTATTTTTATACGTTATTTTATATAGACACAAATAAATTAAGTAAATGCTCTGTTTACAATAAACAGTATTAACAACATGAAAGTTCGAGAAATTTTCATAGACAGGAATCGAACATGTCTTCTACCCGGAACCATCATATAGCCTGACGTGCTATACCAGTTTAGCTTCAAGGGAGCGTCTGGTTAGTAAGGTCGATTTTACTGCTTTTAAACTACAAATTTGCCATGTTTTCACTCGAACGTTCATATCTGCTCGAAACTTATCTTAACGT